CGACTACCATACCTCTTAGAACTATATACACGACTACCATACCTCTTAGAACTATATACACGATTGTCATACCTGTTAGAACTATATACACGACTACCATAACTGTTATAACTATATACACGACTACCATACCTGCGATAACTATATACACGAGTCTCATACTTGTTGGAACTATATTCACGACTCCCATACCTATTATAGCTATATATACGACTCTCATACCTGTTGGAACTATATATACGACTCTCATACCTGTTATAACTATATATACGACTCTCATACCTGTTGGAACTATATTCACGACTCCCATACCTGTTATAGCTGTATATACGACTCTCATACCTGTTGGAACTATATATACGACTCTCATACCTGTTATAACTATATATACGACTCTCATACCTGTTGGAACTATATTCACGACTCCCATACCTATTATAGCTATATATACGACTCTCATACCTGTTATAGCTATATATACGACTCTCATACCTGTTAGAACTATATTCACAACTACCATACCTGTTATAGCTATATATACGACTCTCATACCTGTTATAGCTATATATACGACTTTCATACCTGTTATAACTATATTCACGACTACCATACCTGTTATAGCTATATATACGACTCTCATACCTGTTATAGCAATATATACGACTCTCATACCTGTTATAGCTATATATACGACTCTCATACCTGTTATAGCTATATATACGGCCCTTATACCTGTTATAGCTATATATACGACTCTCATACCTGTTATAACTATATTCACGACTACCATACCTGTTATAGCTATATATACGACTCTCATACCTGTTATAGCTATATATACGACTCTCATACCTGTTATAGCTATATATACGACTCTCATACCTGTTTGAACTATATGTACGACTCTCATACTTGTTATAGCTATATATACGACTCTCATACCTGTTATAGCAATATATACGACTCTCATACCTGTTATAGCTATATATACGACTCTCATACCTGTTTGAACTATATATACGACTCTCATACTTGTTATAGCTATATATACGACTCTCATACCTGTTATAGCTATATATACGACTCTGATACCTGTTAGAACTATATTCACGACTCTCATACCTGTTATGGCTATATATACGACTCTCATACCTGTTTGAACTATATACACGACTCTCATGCCCGTAGGAACTATATTCACGACTCCCATACCTGTTATAGCTATATATACGACTCTCATACCTATTAGAACTAACTACACTTAGACTAACACCCAGTCTCTGAAATGAAAATTGTTCCTAAATTAATATCATAAAATATCATGAAAAGGAGCCCAGACACATTTTCAATAGAATCTGTGGAAATCTAGACTCGCCACATATTCTTTTTGCGCGGGGTTTCTTGGATAAAATTGTGTCTAGTCACAATAACATGTGACTAGTTGATTAATGTTGATTATTAAAACAGCAAGAATGACGTTTTTACACTATAACTATAGCTTGAAACTATCAACACAGTGTCTATACTTGGTGGCACAGGAACGTTTTAAAGGTGCCGCAAAGAGACTTCACGTATTCACATAGGTCGCTGATTGGTCAGTTGAACCAACATGCCATATTGTTCCTGTATTGCTGTAAACATAATATTGCCGTTGTAGGATTTAGTTGTCTTGGTTGTGTTGACTGTTCAGACATATTTTAGAGAGTTAGGGAGTAACCTACTGAAAACTGGGGACCAGTTGCCACAGGGGATGGATAATGTTGACACCCCGATGCATCCAAACGGATGTCCAGAGTGCGATGGTTATTCTCCAGTGTCTTTGTATGTAAATAAACAACCCAGCAATACGCGCATTTGTGAACATGTTTGTTTGTGCTTCATATGCTGGTGGGCGTTTACTGCCTGACAATATATATCCGTTGGGATGCATCGGGGTGTCAACATTTTATCACCAAAAGCAAATTGATACACATGAAACGACTCAAAATAATTCTGTTGTAGCTTAATGCATGCTAAGTATTATGTAATGTCATTAATAAAAACAGAGTATTTGATTTGTTAACGGTACACTTGTGTAACATTTCCTGTGACTGTCTGATGATTAGGAAAAGTAAAGCCTACCTTCTATTGTTGCCAGCAAGCGCCCTTGGCACTATATTGTTTTGCTAGTCACACCCCATAATCATTATCAAATGCTTTCTTGGCATGGCAGAGATAGCCAATACGACATAGTCCCCTGTAGGTTAAACAAATAGTTTTTGTGCTCCACACAGAATAGATTTTAAAAAGGCTAGATTCTTGCAAGGGAGAGAACATGGGTAGAATGAGCATGAACAATATGTGTTTCCACGCGGTACCTTTGGCATCTTTGTAGCACATTACTGGCAGTAACGGAACCCACCATACTGTCTCACAATCGAAACAATCAGTTTCTATAGCAGGCCATTAGACTCGACATCCGCCAAGTGAGACAGTCGCCGGAAAGTCATTACTACAGCTGATCGTACAGTTTGCTGTAACTTGACATCTATTCCTGATTCATTGCAACACTGGCTGCACCGGGTTTGCAGCATTTCTATGACTGGGAAATACTGAATCTTTTATACAAGGCACTTAAAATATATGTTGGGAGTAATGAAAGCGTGCCCTGGTTCAATCCAATTTACCTGATTCTGTTGATATATTTTTTTCTTAGAGGTTAAGAAGTACTTACGAATTATGAATTAGCATAATAGTATTAATGATGACTAATTTGTAGGTCTTAGCGTTTTGTGAGTTTCAGCTGCACGTCTCTGTTTTGATGTCTTTGCCATTTTATGTGATTATGTCCGATACAATTCTCCATTTTGACTTGTAAAATATATACTTCTGGCGAACAATAGGCTTGCCATGTGTTTGTGGCAGAAGTCTATGTTGGGGCAGCATGTGCTTAACTTTTCACGAACACCCGGTATCGTTACTATTACATAATGATTCCTAAACACAAATGGACGATATAGTGGGGATTTCTTTTCTCCGAAGAGATTGCTATTTTACATGCAAAGAGATTTTTCGCTTTAATTATGTCCATACAAAATTTAAAATTGACTATGACCAGTCACAGAAGATACAAGTGACTGTACAACCGGTGATACTCTCGGGGAGTTGGGTATGCCATCGACTGTCGTGAAGAACATCTCCTTTTGCTATAAACATATTAAGTATTCTGTCGATGAGATATTGATCGGACTAGAGAAAGCGTGGCAGATTGATCCATTGGTATACAGCTTGTCGTCTTTACCAATCAGAGATGAAGCTCTCTGTACGCTGTGGCCTGAATGTTTTAAAGAATGGCACCACGCGTGAGTGCTGAGTGCGTCATCTGCCAAACCACATGCAGGCTGCTCTCAACTAAGATACACTAACGGTAAGCAGTGTTTCATACATGTTAACAGTGATGTTGTGACATGTTTCAAAACGGCAATCTAATCAACTTATCCTGTCTTATCAATATATACATTAAGGCTATGCACAAGAGTGTGAAGAGGGGTTGAATGAAAATGTTATACATTTTTTGTTTGAGTGTAATGCTTACAATGTAATTAGAGATAGATATGTTCCTGTAAATAGTCACTGAAATAATAGTTGCTAATTATCATAATATATTAACTTGTAATTGTAGATATACCCTTGTAAAGTGTTCTTATTACATCAAAGGAGCTCTTGCTTATAGAAACAAAAGTTACGTCATTAGCCATTTAATTGAATTACTTTGTAAAGTTTCACCTATTCTGCGAAAATGTACTCTTTTTGTATGTATCGTACATGGGCCGATGGCCTACAAACCGAAATAAAAGAATAATTGCACAACGGTATGAAGGTGGTAACCACGGATGGACGTAAATGAAGTCGTTGACTTGTTCGGAATAAATCAAGTGGTGATTACTTGTTTTCCTTATATGGATTAAAGAGGTGATCAGAATTTTTTTTGACTCGGTGATATATTTTGCCAATTAAATGACTCAGAACACAAAATGGCAAAAGACATCAAAACAGAGGGAGAGAGAGAGAGAGAGAGAGAGTGTGTGTGTGTGTGTGTGTGTGTGTGTGTGTGCGTGCGTGCGTGCGTGCGTGCATGAAATTATTATTTCATCCAGCCTGAACAAGTTTTGTGGGATGCAGTTTGTCCTTTCAGTCAGTAATTACATGAGCCCGGTTTGCTCGTGATGTCAGTTCTGGAAAATATTCTACATTGCACAATTGTAATGCTTGGAGTAGTATTCATCCTCAGCCATTGTCCCATTGTTCAAATTCTCACTCCGAACATTGCTTTGTCAGCAATATTAATCAGACAATGTATCCAAAGGTTAAGACAAAGGAGAAAGTCTTCTACAATGAAACACAATCAATACAAACTAAAAGTGCAACAGTTAAGTATATTGTTTGACTACCAGACCGTTGTGCATTGGACTTGGTGCCTGTAATTTAGTTCTTGGATTTTGTCCATTTGCAATTTAGTGCAATCTCTCAATTATTTACATGTTAATTGTATTTAATACTGCTGAGTGCAGCGTAAAACTAAACTCACTCACTCACTCTTGCTATTGTTCTTGTTGTTGAATGTTGTTTTATACGACTTCAACTATAAAATGAGCACATGTAAAGGATTCACCCTGAAATAGTGACAACACCAGGTGTCTGCACAAAGCTGAGCGTATCCTGCCCCTTTTTGTCACCGATGTATATTGCTGCGCTTAAGTTTTCATTACAATATGACGATCCGTTAGCGGCGAAAGATCTTGTATGCATACAGGAGTTTGGACCAGTATAGAATATGGTGACTCTATTTTTTTAAATATATCCGAAGCTTATACATATATGAACATTCTCAGAGATGAAAATGTTCTTTGTCATACGCTCTGTTTGTCAGAGGTGTACTTTCACCGGTCAGGGAATGTTGTCAGCTACTGACGTTAATTGCAAACTGTTTAATGTTGTAATGGTTTCTCCTATAGTTTCAGGGTTTCCGGAATAATGCCTTGATCAGACCATACATCTGCGCATGACGAGGGGACTACATCATGCGCGCATCTCTCATCCTCATCTTCGCTGATCCATGGCTGTGGACCACACTGTGCTGTAAGTATATAGCTGATCCATGGCTGTGGAGCACACCGTGGTGTAAGTATATAGCTGATCCATGGCTGTGGACCACACTGTGGTGTAAGTATATAGCTGATCCATGGCTGTGGACCACACTGTGGTGTAAGTATATAGCTGATCCATGGCTGTGGACCACACTGTGGAGTAAGTATATAGCTGATCCATGGTTGTGAACCACACTGTGGAGTAAGTATGTAGCTGATCCATGGCTGTAAACCACACTGTGGAGGAAGTATATAGCTGATCCATGGTTGTGGACCACACCGTGGAGTAAGTATATAGCTGATCCATGGCTGTAAACCACACTGTGCAGTAAGTATATAGCTGATCCATTGTTGTCGACCAACACATGTCACTCTTCTGTCTGTACATGCAACTTGAAATGGAATGAAAGTGTTGATAGGCTATGGAAAGTTTTTTTAATAATATATGATGATTTAAAGAAATGATTCAACCAAAGTGGTTGGATCAAGATTTGGTCTACATCATTTTCCTCAAAAGTATTTTTCTTACAGAATATCCTCCAAGCTGATAAAACGTTTCTCCCATAAGGATTATCATGGTCAGTCAACAGCATTGGAGCCAAGTGAAAATAAATGAATTATGGGAAAGATGTTTATCGATTCTTTAGTCTTTTTATATAGTTTTTCAGTGAGGATAATTTCAAAGCATTAATGAAACATTCTATATCGATCAATCTGAGGCCTCCATCTTGATAATCTCTGTTTATAGTTGATCTCTTTATTTTGTCGTTTTTATTCTCCATAAGAATTTATCAGTTATTTTATTGAGTTGTTTAATGAATGTTTTAGGTGGGTTGGGCAGTGCAAATATGTACAAGAGTTGAGATTGCCAAAGTTTTAATAACAGTGATTTTTCCAATAAGAGTCAATTTTTTTCTGCGCCAATTGGCAATTAATCTATTGATATGTTCTGAGCGTTTCCTTGTGTTAATCACCCACAGGTCATTTAATGAAGCATTTAAGGTAATTCCTAAAATTTCGAAGATCCTCCCTGTGCCAATCAAGATTAAGGTCATTGGCTTAAGTTATATTACTTTCAGACATTGAACCTATCCAAATTGCCTTGGTTTTATCTATGTCCTACGATTTGGTGAAATGTGTTCAGTGTTTCAATTACTGCATTGAGACTTTTTTCAGATCCATCTAGAAATAATTGACTATCGTCAGCATACTGTCCTAGTTTAGGTTCAATATCATGTAGTGTTATGTCCTTTATGTCTGGATTTGTCCTCATCATAGTACCTAATATTTTGACTGCAAGAATAAGTACGGTGAAATTGGATCTCCCTATCTACATCCCCTTTCAAGCCTGAAAAAATATGACAAATGTCCATTTTGAATAACTGATGCTATTGTATTAGAGGATAAGATTTTTACCGATTATATAATATTTGGACCAAAACCAAATTTGTTCAATACCGGTGTCAAAAAAGATTTAGAGATAGTATCAAAAGCTTTTCAAAGTCAATTAAGAGAAGCAAATCTGGTTTGTTTAACTTTTTAGCTTAAAAAACATAATATCATAGATCATCCTGTTTTTTCACTAATACAACTACCAGGATTAAATCCTGTTTGGTTGTCATGTATAACTGTATTCAAGGTGCTTTTCAGTCTATTTGCAATACAGGAAGTGATTATTTTGTATAAAGCATTGAGCAATGAGATTGGGCACCAATTCTTTAACATTTTTCTGTCCTTAGTTGCTTTTGGAAGACAGGTGACTCCCCTATTCATTGTGCATGTTAATGAATTATTAGTAAATGTCTCGTTTATAATCTAAATATCCATTGGCTTAAGTACTTCCAAAAGAATTTCAAAAATTCTATTGGAGAACCATCAATACCTGGGCTCTTATTGTTTTCATAGATAATACTGTTTTCCTTATTTCTTCCATTGTCAGGTCCTTTTTCAGGTCATCATACTCTTTCTCACTTATTTTCTGTGTAGTTATATCATTCAAAAGTTCATTATTAATGTTATCATCACTGTTTGATTGTTAATAAAGTTTAGAGTAGAAACTTTTCAATTCTTCTAAAATGATTTTTCCATCTGTAATAATTTCTCCATTTTCTTTCCTTATACTATTTATCAAATTGCTAGTAAAATGTCTCTTTTCGAGATGTTAACAGTAACTAGTTGGCTTCTCTCCTTCTTCGTACCATGTTATTCTCTGTCTGATTTGGATTCCTCTGGTTTCCTCTTCATGGTATTGTTCTAATTGTTTTTTCATTGTTGATAGTTCAGATAATAGTTTTTCATTAATACATTGGAAATCATTTCTAATATTTTCTTCAAGTTCTTTAATATTTTCTTCTAATTGTTGTATTTTCTTAGTTTTATCTTTCTTCAAAAAAGGAGAGTAAGAAATGGTTATCCCCCTGGGTTTCATTTGAAAAGTCTCTAAAAATAAACAGTCTGACATTTTCAGTCGCAAGGTTGCATATTCAATAAGGGTGTCAGTATCTTCCTCTGCATGTGTTCTGTCTGCATATTCATACAATGTTTCCTTTAAAGTATCCTTGACAATTTTAGTATACTCTTCATTGAGTAACAATGAAGTGTTGAATTTCCAATACCCCTGTCCTCTTTCTTTAGTTAAAGCATTTGAGAAAGAGAAAGAAACCGGGGAATGATCCGATTTATAACCTGGAATAATGACAGTGTCACATGAGATATTAAATAAATCTTGTGTTATAAGAAAAAAGTCTAGTCTAGCTTGTTGCCTAGGTTTCTTTTCCACCAAGTAAATTTTCTGCAGTCAGGATTTTGCTCCCTCCACACATCTATCAAATCAAATTGTTCTATATTTTTTAGAATTGTATTCCTTGCATTAGGGTTATTAATATGTTTATAGTTTTCTAGGTCAATAGACGGGTTTAATACCAGATTCCAATCACCACATTATATCATAGAGTCTGTTCCCGTATCATCAATCAGCTTAAATATTTTTGTGTAACAAGATGGTTCATCTTTGTTTGAACCATAAAGATAGTTAATGTCATCTTTGTAACATTTATGTATTTCAATTTCGGTGTTATTATTATTATTATTATTATTATTATTAAATAGTATACTAGGTATATAGCTTATCCATGGTTGAGGGACCACACTGTGGAGGAAGTAAACTGGCGTTCAAAAGAAAGTACACAGGCAAAGATTTGGTCAAATAGCACAAAATTAACAATTTTTTAAAAGATAATTTCATGTGTTTATTGAGGCACATGGTCAAACAGAACTCCTCACAATAAAATGAAACTTTAAGCGGGAACATTATTGCCTTATGGTACTGTCAAACATGCACGGGGTCCAAATGACACATTTCATTATTGCAGATGAAAAGTTCAATGTTGATTACCAGACACCCAAATGTCACAAAAACAGGTATCACATTCAGTATCTTGTATGGCCTCCACGGGCATCAATGCAAGCCTGTACTCGTCTCCTCATGGAAAACGTAAGTCGCCTGATGACGTCATTTGGAATTCTTGCCCATTCCTCATGGAGAGCATTTTCAAGCTGTCGTACATTAACGGGCTGCTGTTGCCGAAGTCGGAGTTGTCTTCCGATATGGTCCCATAGATGTTCAATCGGGTTGAGGTCAGGTGAACGAGCGGGCCATGGCAATACATCAATATCACGGTGTTGGAGAAAGTCTGTGGTGATCCTGGCTGTGTGGGGTCTGGCGTTATCATGATGGAAAATAATTCCATGATGTTGTCGCATGAAAGGCAGTACAACAGGTCGCAACACCTCATCACAGTATCGCTGGGCATTCAGATTGCCACGAATTGTCACTAAACGTGTCTTCTGATCACCACAAATTGCTCCACAGACCATAACACCACCACCACCAAAGGGGTGAACATCTTGTATACAGTTTGGTGCCAACCGTTCTCCCCGACGCCGATACACCCAAATTCTACCGTCAGCATGAAACAGATTAAATCTGCTCTCATCACTGAAGAGGACACGTACCCAGTTACGACGTTGCCACCGATGCACAGTCCTTGTCCACTGTAAACGGTTCCTACGATGTAGAGGTGTCAAGGACATGCCACGGAAAGGTCGATAGGCCCGGATACCAGCAGCACGGAGTCGCCTCATCACTGTGTACCTGCTGATGCGGTGACCTAATGCTGTCGCTGCTGATGACGTTGCAGGTAACATTTGATTGCGTAAATGGATTATCCGCAGGTGCTGGTCATCTTGTGGTGTAGTGACTCTCGGACGTCCAGTTCGGGGTCGGTCAGCTGTCTGGCCTGTCTGTTGAACACGTCTGAACAGATTTATTATGGTTTGTCTTGTGCACTGGAAGGTCCTTGCAATATGACTGTTGGACGCCCCCATCTGTGACATACCAATGGCTCTCTCTCTCTGCACTGGTGTACGTCTTGGCATTTTCTTCATGTGTTTATTGTCGTCTGCCATATCAGCATTGGGATGAGTGTCTTTTATACCCGTTTACAATTTGATTGCATGTGCAAGAGGGAATAATCACAATTTCAACAAATCTCGTGTTGCACGTGCAGCCACACATATGGCTGCATTTTGAACATTTTACCCCTATAGTTGCGTTTGTGAGATCTATTTTCAGTGCAAATCTTGATGAATTGAAACGAGGTTCATGTATGGTGAACAAATGTTTAGGTGTGTACTTTCTTTTGAACGTCAGTTTATATAGCTGATCCATGGTTGTGGACCACACCGTGGAGGAAGTATATAGCTGATCCATGGTTGAGGGACCACACTGTGGAGGAATTATATAGCTGATCCATGGTTGAGGGACCACACTGTGGTGGAATTATATAGCTGATCCATGGTTGTGGACCACACTGTGGAGGAAGTATATAGCTGATCCATGGTTGTGGACCACACCGTGGAGGAAGTATATAGCTGATCCATGGTTGTGGACCACACTGTTGAGGAAGTATATAGCTGATCCATGGTTGTGGACCACACTGTGGAGGAAGTATATAGCTGATCCATGGTTGTGGACCACACTGTGGAGGAAGTATATAGCTGATCCATGGCTGTGGACCACACCGTGGAGAAAGTATATAGCTTATCCATGGTTGTGGACCACACTGTGGAGGAAGTATATAGCTGATCCATGGCTGTGGACCACACTGTGGAGGAAGTATATAGCTGATCCATGGTTGTGGACCACACTGTGGAGAAAGTATATAGCTTATCCATGGTTGTGGACCACACTGTGGAGGAAGTATATAGCTGATCCATGGCTGTGGACCACACTGTGGAGGAAGTATATAGCTGATCCATGGTTGTGGACCACACTGTGGAGTAGGCACATTTGTATATAGCTGATCAATGGCTGTGGACCACACTGTGGAGGAAGTATATAGCTTATCCATGGCTGTGGACCACACTGTGGAGGAAGTATATAGCTGATCCATGGCTGTGGACCACACTGTACTGTACGTATATAGCTGATCCATGGTTGAGGGACCACACTGTGGAGGAATTATATAGCTGATCCATGGCTGTGGACCACACCGTGGAGATGGCTGTGGACCACACCGTGTATATAGCTTATCCATGGTTGTGGACCACACTGTGGAGGAAGTATATAGCTGATCCATGGCTGTGGACCACACTGTGGAGGAAGTATATAGCTGATCCATGGTTGTGGACCACACTGTGGAGGAAGTATATAGCTGATCCATGGTTGTGGACCACACTGTGGAGGAAGTATATAGCTGATCCATGGTTGTGGACCACACTGTGGAGTAGGCACATTTGTATATAGCTGATCAATGGCTGTGGACCACACTGTGGAGGAAGTATATAGCTTATCCATGGTTGAGGGACCACACTGTGGAGGAAGTATATAGCTAATCCATGGTTGTGGACCACACTGTGGAGGAAGTATATAGCTGATCCATGGTTGTGGACCACACTGTGGAGGAAGTATATAGCTGATCCATGGTTGTGGACCACACTGTGGAGTAGGCACATTTGTATATAGCTGATCAATGGCTGTGGACCACACTGTGGAGGAAGTATATAGCTTATCCATGGTTGAGGGACCACACTGTGGAGGAAGTATATAGCTAATCCATGGTTGTGGACCACACTGTGGAGGAAGTATATAGCTGATCCATGGTTGTGGACCACACTGTGGAGGAAGTATATAGCTGATCCATGGTTGTGGACCACACTGTGGAGGAAGTATATAGCTGATCCATGGTTGTGGACCACACTGTGGAGTAAGTACATTTGTATATAGCTGATCCATGGTTGTGGACCACACTGTGGAGGAAGTATATAGCTGATCCATGGTTGTGGACCACACTGTGGAGGAAGTATATAGCTGATCCATGGCTGTGGACCACACTGTGGAGTACGTATATAGCTGATCCATGGTTGTGGACCACACTGTGGAGGAAGTATATAGCTGATCCATGGCTGTGGACCACACTGTGGAGAAAGTATATAGCTGATCCATGGTTGTGGACCACACTGTGGAGGAAGTATATAGCTGATCCATGGAGGACCACACTGTGGAGGAAGTATATAGCTGATCCATGGTTGTGGACCACACTGTGGAGGAAGTATGTAGCTGATCCATGGTTGTGGACCACACTGTGGAGGCAAGTATATAGCTGATCAATGGCTGTGGACCACACTGTGGAGGAAGTATATAGCTTATCCATGGTTGAGGGACCACACTGTGGAGGAAGTATATAGCTAATCCATGGTTGTGGACCACACTGTGGAGGAAGTATATAGCTGATCCATGGTTGTGGACCACACTGTGGAGGAAGTATATAGCTGATCCATGGTTGTGGACCACACTGTGGAGTAGGCACATTTGTATATAGCTGATCAATGGCTGTGGACCACACTGTGGAGGAAGTATATAGCTTATCCATGGTTGAGGGACCACACTGTGGAGGAAGTATATAGCTAATCCATGGTTGTGGACCACACTGTGGAGGAAGTATATAGCTGATCCATGGTTGTGGACCACACTGTGGAGTAAGTACATTTGTATATAGCTGATCAATGGCTGTGGACCACACTGTGGAGGAAGTATATAGCTGATCAATGGCTGTGGACCACACTGTCTACAAGATAGATAACTGATCCATGGCTGTGGACACTGTATGGTTTCTGTAACAGTCTCAACACTTGCCGTTGGGCACTTAGCCTTCACTATGTACGTACTGTACTTCAGCTTGACACAAAGTCAGGCATGAACCTTTGTTGAGAGAAGGTCAACGTCAGAACTTGATGCAAAATTGAAAAGTCAGATCGTATATTCTTGTTCTGATATCAATTCTTGTACAAAATCTAAAATAAGTTAGTAAAAACATCCCGCATAAAATAAGATAGATATAACCACTATATGCACCGCCATGTTTACATTAGTTTGTAAGTTAGTTAGTTTGTCGTTTAACGCCGCTGCAGTCTGTAAATCTAGGAGACAGAACAGACAATCCAGTGACCAACAGCATGAGCATCAATCTACGGGATACGATGATATGCATCAACCAAGTCAGCGAGCCTGACCACCCGGATCCGTTAGTCGCCTTTTAAGACAAGCATGGGTTGGTGAAGACCAATTCTAACCCGGCTCTTCACGGGTAGCCACACTCATTAGAACCTCTAACTGAAGAAACGCCTTGTGAATGGCTTCAATGAATCATGTCTGTGTCCGTGCATGCTTGATTTCACTATATCTAATGTCCTGTTTTAAAAGATTCATATTAGCCACAAAAAAAAGTGGCTCCAGGGGAAAGCTTTCTTGTAACTGTTGGATACACCAGAACAGGCATATTCTTTGTGGCACAAGAAGTTTACTGACGTAATGACCAATTGTGCTGCAAACTTAGTTTAATTGACTTTAAATCTGTCTTGGTCAGTCATGTGTATGTTTCTTTACAATGGACTCGTCAACTGATGATTCCTAAAGTAACACCAGAGAGTGACTTCTTAGTAAGGCAGTCGTCTATAACCCGGAAAGTCATCGAGCTGTTAAATTTCATTCCCTGTACATTAGAGGGAAGTTTACACATGGTGGACATATCCAGTGAAGCGGATCTGAACACAGAGATACAAAGTGTACGGCTACTTCAGCCAAAACCCGTAACGATCCGGGTAAAAATTTGTCTTCACGAACCCATGTTTGTCGTATGAGGCGACTAACTGGATCGGGTGGTCAGGCTCGCTGACTTGGTTGACACATGTCATCGTATCCTAATTGCGTAGATCGATGCTCATGCTGTTGATCACTGGATTCTCTGGTCCAGAATCGATTATTTACAGACCGCCGCCATGTAGCTGGAATATTGCTGAGTGTGGCACCTACCAACCTTTAGCCATGAGTTTCACTCCTGCAGCGCCTGGCGTTGATTTCAGTCGTGATAGGCTAAATATACTGAAACGGTATAGCCATGTGTGCCAGGGAAACCATGTTACCCCATACTACGCCCAAAAGAGGCGTCAGTCGGGTATGCAAGCAGTAACAGAAGTTTCAGAAAGATGGCCTTCGGTCCAGTTTGCTCTTTATTGTCTATTGTGGCACAGTACCTGCAGTCTGTAGGAGCAATACACAACATGCAAGTGCATGGAGAAGTATAAACTGTGTACATGATACTTGTACCTGCATGAGCTGCATAACGAGGTCTCTCATGCACCAGATAGCAGACATCTGCATTGTATGCTCCAAAGTACAAATACATACTGCACCCCACATTATTGAACCTGCAAAAGAAGAGTGTAGTAGGATATGTATGACAAAAATCATATAGGTACAACACTGAACTTGAATAATTTTACACAGGAACATTTTTTCTGCTCAAAACTCATGGCTTCAACTTACGGTTCACGACTTACGGTTCCCGTAGCAAATGGCTCCCAATTCACTTCTTACAACTTAGTCTTTTAGTAATACACGATCATCAACGTGACTTTCATCACGCTCGCCATGCTACCATGTACGTATTCCCTGATTCAGGTGTCGGGGGCATGGACGAGGAATACGAATCTGGACGGTCCTACGTCCTCAACCCCCTGAGACTGTCCTGGGGGGACGCGGCAAGTGCATGCCGGGAGATGGGGGGAGATCTGGCGGTCATTAGGAGCATGTCCACCCTGCCTACCATCCAGCTGGAAGGGTAAGTTTCTTGACACGTGCAGTTCATGTAGTGTAATATGTCTCCTCTTTCGACCTTACAGCTCTGAAGGAGAGTCTGTAGACATGCGCAGTTCATGTTGTATCATATCCCATCAAATGGAAGGGAAGGTTATGCAACATGCAAGTTGCAGTTCATATAGAAGTACGCTGACGCGTGCAGTTGGTAGTCATCCATTTTTGGTGTCGTATGATACGCCTTTGTTCACAACAAACATGATTCAAGATGGTTATATCGTTATATCCTCAGAGACTGGACATTCTGGATCGGCCTCACGAAGAACGAAGAAGGCAGGTGGCTATGGAGTAATTCTGACAAACCGATGTGGACAAACTGGCAGACAACCTACATCCAAAACTTACAGATCCCCAAGTTTGGCTGTGCTTCAGCTGTCACTATGATGCCGTATTGGTGGCAACCTAAAAACTGCAGCAGCCCGCTCCCATCGCTGTGTGAGCTGCAGGAAGGTGAGCTCCGTGTGTGTGTGTGTGTGTGTGTGTGTGTGTGTGTGTGTGTGTGTGTGTGTGTGTGTGTGTGTGTGTGTGTGTGTGTGTGTGTGTGTGTGTGTGTGTGTGTGTGTGTGGTAACGGAAGTTACACATGTTATAGCAGTATGTACTTATAGTGTGTGTGTGTGTTTGTGTGTGTGTGTGTGTGTGTTTGCGCGTGCGTATGTATGTGTATTTATTCATAGCAGTGGTTCTGACCGATGTTTTTCAAACCCCAAATCTATACTAGGCACATAAAGAAACTGTGCATACAAAAAATTAAATCTAAATTTATCAAACCTGTGTAGACACATAAGGATTTAAACTCAGAGATTAGTGACATGTATCCAACATGCATGCACGTGCCACGTTCCGTGACGTCAGTGGGTTCTTCCTTGAGACGTACAATACGTTGTTGCACGTGCATTCCGAGAAAGACAAACAGAGCACATGAATGCCACACAATACTGTCACTTTGGAAAGCTCAACCCCTGCCCTTGTGATCGTTCAAAAAATTAAACGGCTATTGAAACGCATAGCATGCCAAGGCTCACGTCTGCACAACGTCATGAGGCCTTTGGGATGGTCCGTGGGGGAATGTCTCAACGACAAGTGGCTGCATATTTCCACTGCCACCGGAACACCATTTCTGCACTGGTGAGACGCTACCAGAACACAAATGACGTCATCGATCGGCCACGTTCTGGACGTTCACGTGTAACAACGCCAAGACAGGACAGATGGATAAGGGTGACCCATCTTCGCCACAGGTTTCAGACTGCAGTGATGACTGCCCGAACCATCCTAGGACTTCGCCGTATCCACCCCAACACAGTTCGACAATGTTTACGGCATCACGGGATCAGACCACGATGTCCCGCCATACGGCCTATCCTGACACAACGTCATCGACAAGCTCGCCGAATGTGGTGCCGAAAATTCATGTCCGCAGACCCTTGTTTTGGTGGAGAAATGTTGTTTTTACAGATGAGTCCAGGTTTAACATTTCCCATAGTGATGGACGTCAACGTGCCTATAGACGCGTGGGAGAACGTTATGCACAGGCCTGTGTCTTGGAGAGGAATCGCTTTGGTGGTGGTGGTGGTTCCGTGATGATTTGGGGTGGAATAACAGCACGCCGAAGAACTCCTTTGGTGATTGTTCAGGGCAACTTAACTGATGTGGGCTACAGGGATCAGATTCTTCGACCTGTGGCAATTCCTTTTCTGCAACGTCATGGCCCTGGGTTAACATTCCAACAGGACAATGCCTGCCCTCATACGGCAAGGGTTGCTATGGATTTCTTGCAACACCACAACGTTGACTTACTGCCTTGGCCTGCAAATTCACCGGATCTCTCCCCGATAGAGCATGTTTGGGACGAGATGGATCGACGTCTACGCAGTCTTCCTCATCCGCCAGATAACGTCCTTGACCTTGCAACAGAACGTGAGAGAATCTGGCGTGACATCCCACAAGCCTTCCTTGCACATTTGATAGGCTCTATGCGTCGTCGATACACTGCTGTTCCCAATGCCGATGGTGGACATACCCTTTATTGAGCTTGTGACATGGTCGTTTGACCCCTGTACCGCTTGTGGACTCGTGACGTCATTGTGATTGACTTTTCAATTGAAATTCTCACGACTTGTTATGGTCTCATGATCCCTCCATGAAAGTTTATATGTACCTTTGACATTGTTATCGTACTAATCAACTGTGATAATATTTTGACAATGCACAGTTTCTTTATGTGGCTAGTATATATGGAACATGAAGCGTTGTCAGATATTCCTGTATGACGTGGGAATTTAGGGACCGTTCATAATTTATGGCTATGGCTGTCTGTCTGTGTGTGTGTCTGTGTGTGCGTGTGTCTGTGTGTGTGTGTGTGTGTGTGTGTGTGCGTGTGTGTGTGTGCGTGTGTGTGTGTGTGTGTGTGTGTGTGATATATGATTTTAAGGGGGGGTCACCCATTTTGTTCTGGGGAGCTAGGGGGTCATCAATTTTGTACACACGTACTAGGGGTCATCAATATTGTACATAAAATTATGTTTAAAATTATGCTTAGAAATCATGGAAAGGGGAGGGGGGTAATTGACTTTGTACATGAAATGCAAGGGGGGTCACATACTTTGTACATAAATTTTAGGGGGGTCATTCACATTGTTCATGCTCCCCCCTCCCCCCTAAAATTATGAACGGTCTCTTATGACTGCATTTATATTCAATTTATCAGGATGTTAATGTGTTGTTTCAACTGGTTTCAGGTGAGTGCACTTTCGTACGCCACAACCACTCCAGCGTCATTGCCAACAACGTGAAGATTCCTTCTGGCGTGGATCTTGAAGAGTGCAAGAGGCTCTGTGAGACCGAGACCGACTTCACCTGCCGCTCTTTTGAATACAACAGCAAGAGACACTACTGCCAAATGAGCGACGTGGACCGTCACACAAGCGGAATCAGGTTCACGGAAAGCGATGAGGAACTCGACTACTACCACCGTACATGTGATACAGGTGAGCGTCACTGTCATGTGCACTTCTGTCTTGAAGCACTGTCCGTGAGATTCAGGTAAGCGTCACTGTCATTTGTACTTCCGTCTTGAAACACTTTCTGTGAGATACAGGTAAGCGTCACTGTCATGTGCACTTCTGTCTTGAAGCACTGTCCGTGAGATACAGGTGAGCGTCACTGCCATGTGTACTTCCGTCTTGAAACACTTTCCGTGAGATACAGGTAAGCATCACTGTCATTTGTACTTCCGTCTTGAAACACTTTCTGTGAGATACAGGTAAGCGTCACTGCCATGTGTACTTCCGTCTTGAAACACTTTCCGTGAGATACAGGTAAGCGTCACTGTCATGTGCACTTCTGTCTTGAAGCACTGTCCGTGAGATTCAGGTAAGCGTCACTGTCATTTGTACTTCCGTCTTGAAACACTTTCTGTGAGATACAGGTTAGCGTCACTGCCATGTGTACTTCCGTCTTGAAACACTTTCTGTGAGATACAGGTTAGCGTCACTGTCATGTGCACTTCTGTCTTGAAGCACTGTCCGTGAGATTCAGGTAAGCGTCACTGTCATTTGTACTTCCGTCTTGAAACACTTTCTGTGAGATACAGGTTAGCGTCACTGCCATGTGTACTTCCGTCTTGAAACACTTTATGTGAGATACAGGTTAGCGTCACTGTCATGTGCACTTCTGTCTTGAAGCACTGTCCGTGAGATTCAGGTAAGCGTCACTGTCATTTGTACTTCCGTCTTGAAACACTTTCTGTGAGATACAGGTGAACATCACTGCCAGTTGAAAGCAGACTTCCTTCATTGCTGTGATCAGTAGTAAACTACATCTCACGACGTGAATGTATGCATACTTCCCGCGGTACTAAGACGTATCTTCTATGTCTCTAGGTCGTCTGAAGGCTGGATACACCGTCTCTCCCATCGGTATCATCACACAGGAGTACAAGACAACCCCAGATCCAACCACACCAGGTGATACATTGTTCGCCGTTCAAATACACGCATACTGACTTTCGTAGCTGGAAGAGTAGATAGAACTTGATAGAAGAAACTGATCACCAACCCCTACCTTACAAAGTAGGTACCTGTTCGATTGGTAAGACACAATTCCAAACCCTACCTTTCAAAGTTGGTAACAAACACAGTAGGTAACAGTCATATACATCTTTTCAAGACACACACAACCTACCTACACACTGACAGAAAGCTCAAACTTGTTTTTTTCTTCAAATTTATCGGTATTTTGTTTGAACTGGATTCGTTTTCGTTCATGATAATCTATGTACTGCTTATATAGAGATAAATTATATCTTGCAGAACCGACGTCGAGTTTGTTTTGCACACAACTGAAGTCAATTGACCCAAACACAACCGAGCCGGTCCCTGAGGAAGTTAAAGAACTTCAGTCTATGAATGTAGTGTTTAAAGCTCGCCAGACGACGCTGAAGAGAATCAGCGTCCCTGACGCCAGACCTTCAGCTACGTACGTGGGATCATCTGCCGTCATCATCTCATTCTCAATCATTGGAGCGATCGTCTTATGTGACCTCTTTACCTTGCCACGCCATTGCAGAAACGCACATGGACGCCTGAAGCAGAAGAAGAAAGAACCCATAGAGATGAAGTTCGCTGATCGGAGTCACCTGAACATCACGGACCACATGAATGGAGTAAAACTACACATGCAGCATCTTTCTAAAAACAATACAGCAACTGACAGTAAGGAAGAAAACGTTGATCCATTGACAAATGCCGAGGTTCTAAGTGAACACTCCTTCAGTAAGATTATGAACACGGACGTCGGAGAAGACGGCATCGTTCCCAATGGAACCTTACAACGCAAAACCTCATCCAGGACATATGATTGGTCGGATGAGGAGGACCCAACCGAACCACGTGATATCCTTGAAATTGAAATAGAATGCGACACTAACGATGCCAAAAGCGAGGATGTTGATCTCGATGCATCTTCAGGTAGTTCAAAGTACATTTACCGGACGTACATGAGCACGGACTTATGAAGTGCTTGGCAGCTGTGCTCACGGTGCTTGTATTCCGATGTTCAATTTGTGCCATATATTTCAGTTGCTTTGTGTGTTTATGGATATCGGTGTCATTGGGAAAACAATCCCGCAAGTTAGACAGATATACACTCTCACTACATTCCTACTGGAAGGGTTACTGCCTTGAAGACAGCAACACCAGGTGGATGGACGATCATATGGCAACTGTGAAAATAATTATTATAGCAACAAGTAAGGGGCGGCCATTGTATCACCAAGAGTGGGTATGTTAAGGATGAGAGTCGATATAAAGGAATTAAGCTGGAGGTATTTATTCAAGACAAAATATAATATTTTTGTTTCCTACATTCCCATGTTTTGTACCTGTCATGCGTAATGCTTTTGGAATTGATAAGAAATATATATCAGTTCTCTTTGCAAGCTGTTTACCCACCCACTTTGAAAACTATCTCCCCAAATAATGTTCTCGATATGTAACATCTACTCTTGTTTTACTATATTTGGGGTTGTATGTTTAATGGTTACACTATGTTTTATAATAAAATAATAAATTATTCACAGTATTGTGTTTGTCGGTATCCTTCAGATGATATGAGAAGTCAATCGTGCCCAGATATATTTTAGCACTAAGCCTTTCTTTCTTTATCGATGGCTTATATTTATTGTTGCACAAACAGCACTTTATTATGGTACACAATGTGTATCCTCCTCTATGAAACCAGGAAACACACCAGCACTGTCAGGTCCTCTGTCAGGTCGACAGCATACACTTAATGTTCACCTTCTTGTAATTGTAGATATTCTTTTCTTGTGGTATGAACTGTACGAGGTCTGTAAAGTTGGAGAGATATTAGTCATCAAAGTGCTACTCGATTGTAGTCAGCTCCAGATACAAAGCTAAACAGAAGTATTTACCTTGACAACCACTTATTGTCGACTGGAACATAACAACATATTTCGACAAAAGATGCATATTTCCGTTTGAAATAGGTGATTCTGCATAAGAAACACAAAATTGGAAAATGTGTGAGTGAGTGAGCATGGTGTTACTCCACTTCTAGCAATATTCCAGCAATATCACACCAGAAATGAGCTTCACACATTGTACCCATGTGGGGAATCGAACGCGGGTCTTCGTGACGAGAGAACGCTTTAACCACTAGGCTACCCCACCCCCAGTTGGAAAATGAACTTCAGCAACACCATGGAAGATATACGTAGAAGAAATGCATAAGGATCTTGGTAAAAGAGGTTCCTCCGGTGTACTTCACAACTGGTGAACATGGAGATACATAAGTCTTGTCCAATTGTCTGCATACATCTTATCAATGATGAAGACCAGCATTTCGTATTGTTTCCTCGGTAAATTTCAGACGAAATTTTGCTTTTATACTTGACAAATTGCCCCGACCCTCTCAAGATTCAAGTGGAACTGTACATTAGAACAAAAGCCAAATGGATCAAGGAAATAGCTTTTCTTTTTCATTTTTTTTTGACAGAATTGTTTCACTTCTGAGATTCTAAACATCAAAAACATTAACATCATTTGTTTGTAAACAAAGGGTTACACGATTGCGTGAAGCTGTTGTCACCACCAATATCGCCAGGGTCGTGGATAAATACACTACCCACATCCTTATTATATACATCGACATTCGTTGACTTGCCTGTTGTCCTGCACGCTCAGATTCCTCCATTACGTTATAGCTGAAATACAAAAGCTGATCTGTTGAGGCACAGGTATGTTCCCTTGAAGCCTGGAAGATATTCCTTGAACTTCCAGAGAGGGTAATTAGGGTTTAAACAATTAAAGCACCCAGGCAACTATTTATGTGTGTTGTTGGGAGGGCAAGTGTGTCAGAGACATACTACGTCGAGTCGGTTTTTCAAACTACGTAAATAATTTGTAAACCCGGACAGAAATGAGTTCTTCTTCGGTGTCACCTTTGGCCTAAAGACAAGCTCATTCTTCTGTTGTAATGTATTCGAATCGATACAAAATTTGCTGAATACGATATATTTACATATGATTAAACCTACTCCTTAATACAACCAAGGAAGAACTCTGTATCCCCAGGCAGTATTTGGCGGAATTAATACCATGCAGAAACGAAGAACCACAAAGGATTTGACAAGAACTTTATTGTACAGAGCGACGTTTACACGTAGATTGTTGCTAGGCTGAAGTGACTACAACCAAGTGATGAGAGGTGATGATAACTTGTGACACGTAGCAGATTAACAACACAACATTGGAAAAATCTCACATAACTCAATGAAGTCATGATCAGATTTAGACCCGTCTTCTTCCAAGGTTTGTGACGCCGGATTTCTATGACTTCCAACAGTTTTGTGTTCGTAAAGTGCTGATTGCACCTGAATTTCGACTGAATGTGATGGCTAGGGAACTCGACTTGCTGGCGGTCTGAAAGAACTTATTTACCGCCCGCTTTAGCCGTTGACGGTTAATGCTCTTTGATGTATCCGCCAGGCTGGAGGCTCCACGAGTGAGTCAGCAGTCACCATTTACTGGACGTGGTACAAAGGTGCTTGTGTCTACGTCTGGGGTAGGAGCAACACTGTCCTTCCCTATGCATCTGTGTAAAACTCATCAGTCTGCCCTGAACATCCCAAATCACTTTCAAATTTGATTTATTATATTTTACTTGACACTATATAAAGAGCACAGATTAACGTATTGCATACTGTGTTATTCACAGTTGTTATTCACAGCTTTCCTACACTATGGTGTTCTCAACTGGAGTCATTTACAGTACAAATATACTAATAAATAACAGGAACGTCCGTACCCGAATGTTATTGTGTACATTAGCTATTGTTGGACAGTCAGCCTGTGTAGCAGCTTCCAACTTGGCCTTCCTCCAAGGCTGTACTGAATGCTGAGCCCATGGATGTATAGTAATTCTATCCTTCGAACATGTCGGACATGTATGATTGCTGAGGGAAGTTTCTTGCAGTATCGAGGTACAGGAGAATGCCAGTCACGTGTCAGACAATAACCGAGCAACTGAATGATGTCATTTAAGAGTTAAACGGCCGTATGTTACATATGTGTATTTTTTAACATTGCTCAGTTTGACCAATCTGACATGTAACGTGATGCTCCAAGTGCATGACATCGGCAGATTCAGCACGACATCGGTAGATTCAGCACGACATCGGCAGATTCAGCACGACATCGGCAGGTTCAGCACGACATCGGTAGGTTCAGTACGACATCGGCAGATTCAGCACGACATCGGCAGGTTCAGCACGACATCGGCAGGTTCAGCACGACATCGGCAGGTTCAGCACGACATCGGCAGGTTCAGCACGACATCGGCAGGTTCAGCACGACATCGGTAGATTCAGCACATCGGTAGATTCAGCACGACATCGGCAGGTTCAGCACGACATCGGCAGGTTCAGCACGACATCGGCAGGTTCAGCACGACATCGGCAGGTTCAGCACGACATCGGCAGGTTCAGCACGACATCGGTAGATTCAGCACGACATCGGCAGGTTCAGCACGACATCGGTAGATTCAGCACGACATCGGCAGATTCAGCACGACATCGGTAGATTCAGATTCAGCACGACATCGGTAGATTCAGCACGACATCGGTAGATTCAGCACGACATCGGTAGATTCAGCACGACATCGGTAGATTCAGCACGACATCGGCAGGTTCAGCACGACATCGGTAGATTCAGCACGACATCGGCAGATTCAGCACGACATCGGCAGATTCAGCACGACATCGGTAGATTCAGCACGACATCGGTAGATTCAGCACGACATCGGCAGATTCAGCACGACATCGGCAGGTTCAGCACGACATCGGCAGATTCAGCACGACATCGGCAGATTCAGCACGACATCGGCAGGTTCAGCACGACATCGGTAGATTCAGCACGACATCGGCAGATTCAGCACGACATCGGCAGGTTCAGCACGACATCGGTAGATTCAGCACGACATCGGCAGGTTCAGCACGACATCGGCAGATTCAGCACGACATCGGCAGGTTCAGCACGACATCGGCAGGTTCAGCACGACATCGGTAGATTCAGCACGACATCGGCAGGTTCAGCACGACATCGGTAGATTCAGCACGACATCGGCAGGTTCAGCACGACATCGGCAGGTTCAGCACGACATCGGTAGATTCAGCACGACATCGGCAGGTTCAGCACGACATTCACACACTGACATCGGGAAGGCGATAAGGTGCACCACGTCATCATCTTCCATCCCCTGCTCTGCCTTCTTTGCATTTATTTTACGTTTCCCCTTCCCTCCTCCTCCCTCCTTCTCCCTCCTCCCTGCTTTCTTCACCTCCTTAGTCTCCATCTTTTCTCCATCCAGCTCTCTTCCCCTTCACATACAATTGGTTTACTTGAATCACTTTTCAGTAGTATGCTAAATCAATACTATCTGGTTAAGAAAGTTGAAGGAAAGGCAAGGTTTACTTTGGGGCAAGATGTACTTATAGATAAATGGATGTGTGTCTGTCACGCGGCGGCGGAAAAAGTATTAAAGTTTCATGATGTGTAATGGGTTGCCTCGTCCAATAATAATTAGGTACTTCCGACCAGTGCTAATCGGTCTGTTTCCACGCAATCACTCTGGCATAAAGATGTGTGGATATCACGTGCATTATCTATGGAGACATACCCCTACAACGTCAGACTGTAACTTGCCACGGTAGACAGTACCCTGCTAGTCTATCCACAATAGACAGTAATCAGCCAGTCTATCCTGATGCTGGAACTCCAGCTGATCATGGTTTAATGTGATTCCAGGAAGACAATACCCCTATTCTTTTACTGCCAGGAAAGCCACTCAAGCTGATGGGTTCACGGTTTATTTGTTCATGCAACATAAATGACGCTGATTGCAGTAGGTCAGAATGGTCTAAACTGTGATGACGCACGCAAGGTTTCCCATCCTGCTATGTTTGTGAATTATTTAGCCTGTTGATGTTTCCACTATGATGAAGGTTTCACAGCAACACCCTTCACAGCATGGCCATTCGTTCGTGTCCTTCATCAAAGGGTGGTTCTCTGCTGAGGTCTTCGTTAATCAGCCCAGCTGCCCTTGTTCTTCCTCAATAGACACATGTCAGTGACTCTAGCCATGCTTCTTGACTTCCCGACCAGAAACATCAGTGTTGGCTGGTCGGGGATGGTTAATACTGTATAATACAACTTTTATGAAATTGCTCTTCATGTAAGCGGATAACTGTCTGGTTTCTCATAAAAAAAAATTATTCATACATAAACCTTGTTTTCGATGTTTTTATAGCCGTTGAAAAGTTGGTAGCCGTAGACGAAGCGGAATATCGAAGATGGTTTCACGAAATCCTCATGACGGTTTCACTGGAGGTGCTATTTGTGGGCGGTGGTTGACGATATGAGTTGTACGTCTTCACCCGCAACTAGTATGCATATTTAAAATGTAAAGTTGTATATGTATAAAACGTCAATGCAAGAGAATATTGAATCTCAAATAACCTCCGACAAAGATTGCATAAACATAAAAGCCCAAATTGTAGT